TCTACCTGATTCAGGTGTGCTGCCACAGCCCGAGGGCTTCCTCCACCCCTCAAGCCTCCTACCGCAAATAGGCTACTTCAGGATAAAAGAGAACAGATTTTGCCAGAAGGAAACAGAAAAGGCAAATGCCTTACGGCATGTGAATGGCACAGGCTGCTGCGGTCAGGCAATAATCAGGACTACATTTTTCAGCCACAGAAGCAAAAAGCAAACTAAAGGCTCTTGAGTTGGAATAGGCGTAAGGCATTGGAAAGCAGATCCATCTACCAGGAATAGGTTTCAGGGATCAGGGGCCAGCACGTGTAGGGGGTGGGTGGATCTTTTCCCAGCACTGTGGGTTATAGAAGATAGTAGAGGGCAGGGTTTGAAATGTGCCCCATACTTAGTAGCAAGTTGTTCTGCTCCCCTGGGCCTCGGTTTCCTTGTCTGTATAGATATTAAAGGTGGAGCTGTTGTGATTTTTGAATGAGCTGAAAGAGACAAGGCTTGTGTTCGGTACTTGGCAGGATGTGGCCATGGAAGTCCACCTTGGTTCCTGCCTGCGTGTACCTTTGATATGGGCAGACAGTGAATTTGGAGAACTGAGGCCATGTGCCTGAGTGAAGCAGGTCGCAGATGACCCCAGCTAGACCACGGAGCCTCACTTCCGGGTCTGCAACAGAGTGCCCCTGGGCATGTTACTTACACTCTCAGTGCCTCAGTTTCCTCACTTGCAAAGCAGGAATAGTGATGGCATCTACCTCCTCGGATTAGTGTGAGGCAGTGGTTCTCAAAGTGTGCTTCCCCAGCCCATCAGCACCACCTGCTAGAAAAGCAAAAGTTTGGGCTCTTGCTTGCTAGGGAATCAGAAGCTCCTGGGGTGGGGTGCGGCTCTCAGTGCTGCAGAAGGCCCCCCCAGGGGATTCTGACAGTTGCTCCAGTTTGAGACCCACTGTGGTGAAGGTGAGGTGCCTGGACACACCCACTGCACAGCGTGCCTCGTCTGCTTTTGTGCCTGGGCTTTGTAACTGCTGCTGAGCTTTTTGGCACCTTTCTTTCCTTTCTAGCTTCTCTCTCCTTTCTGCCTTAAAATTCCCCTTTACCAGCTCTGCATCAGCCTTTCAGGGCGGAGTTCAAGAATCAATCGACCACATCTATAAAAGTCTTTTGAGCTTCCTGGAAGTAGCTGCCCCAGAGACAGGAATGCAAAGGGTTATTATTAGATCTTTGTCTTGCTACCCCTTCCCTTCAGTGCAGGATCTTAAAGCACCTGGTAAATATCATTCGCCTTCAAAAGGACAGAGCTGGGATAGTGGCAGTCCCTGGTTCTGGGCTCCCTCAGCACCTGCTACATGTCTGTCCCCAGCCCGTGTGTGTGTGTGTGTGTGTGTGTGTGTGTGTGTGTGTGCAGCCCTGGCCAGCAGATCCCTGCTCCCTGCATGCAGGTGTTAACGCTTCCTCATCATTACATCCCCAGAGCTGGATGCACATTCATTCATTCATTCATTCATTTCATGACAAACTTTTCTTGTTCTCCCACTCTGTGGCAGGCCCCATCCTAGGTTGTGGGGTCTAAACAGAACAAGGCAAAGTGCCTGCTCTGTGGACCTGACATCCTAGTGGGCGGATGGAAACAACCAGTAAGTCAATAAATAAAATCATCTTATGGTATATGCTCACCAAACTTGAATGAATGAATGAATGAAGCAAGCTCAGGTCATGTGTTGTGGAGCTTACAGGCCTGGCCTCAGATCTTGACCTTTTCTCCTTCTAGCTAGGGGAGTTTAGGCAAACCCTCAGCTTCTCTGAGCCTCGGTGTCTTCATCTATAAAAAGGGAGCAGTCACAGTATCCATCTCAAAGATAGCTAGGAAGATTAAATGAGTGACGTGATAAGCACAGTGCCTGGCATGTATTGAATGCTCCCCAAAGTCAGATGCTGTTGCTGTCATCATTCAAGGTCGCACAGCTGAGCCTAAGGACTGAACTGGTCCCCTGTGTAGAGGTTTATCCACTAGGACATCTGCGAAATCCCAAAGCTGGAATGGACCCCAGTGATTGGCTAGTGATTTGACCCCTGGTTTAAAGATGAAGAACCTAAAGGTCAGAGGGGTTTTATGATTTGCCCTAGGAGCCCCCAGGAGTTGAAGGCATCCTCCTGCTGGTAGAGGGGGCTCAGATCCTCTGGCTTTTACAGGGAGCTGGCAGCAAGCAGAGTGCCTGGAGCAGAACCTCCCGGCTCCTGTAAAGGGCTCTGCCTTCTATTTCACCACCCAATGGGCACCATCACACCCACCCTTCCTGTGTTTAGGGGGTGGGGGAGGGGCGTCTGCATCTTCTTACCTCAAATGCATGAAGTTTGGGGTCCCACTGCCTCAGGGTCATCTGCAGTCTTTGCCCATTTCATCTCTTGCCCACAGGCTTAACAGAGGGTGCACAGGTTGGCCTGGGCCTGGTCTCTGCTGTCACATAGATCTGGGCTTGAATCTTGGCCCTGGCACTTGCAGGCAGTGTGACCTTGGGCTCCCTGAGCTGCTCTTTCTGCACCTGTACTTATGTCCTCTGTCATCCCAAGTTCAGATGAGGTGACACTTGTACAGAGCCCAACACTGTCCAGTGTGAGCTGGACACACACTATATGCCCAGTAATAATTCTTCCAACTCACTCTCAGCAGACCAGTCTTGCCTGTTTCTGAACATTCTCTAAACTTTCCAGCCTTTGCTGATGCCAACGCTTTGCCTGGACATCCGTCTCTCTGCCCCTCCCAGCCTGTGGCACTCCTGCCCATAGCCTCCAAATCTACGGTGAGGCCTACTGTCTACACTTATCAGCCTGTGGCCGGCAGGAACATTCATTTTTGTGTATATACATAGAACTGCAAGCAGTGTGCAGACAGAATAAAAATAGCATTTACTGAACACTTATTATGAGCCCTAAGTGCCAGGTACTGTGCTCAGCACTGCCAGGTTATCATGGCCGTTTATAGATGAAGCAGCTGGGGCTCAGGGTCATGGACCTGCTGCCCAGGGCACCCCACCAGAAAATGGGCCTGTTTCATCTCAGAAAACATCTGCTGGCTCTGTCGGAAGACTTTAGTCGTCGCTTTAAGATCTGGGCGAGGCAGGGAGGAAGGAGGCGGCAGGGAAGTGGGGCAGGGTCTGGCCTGGTTTCTCGTCATCATTTGGGTTGTCTGGGGCAGCCAGCCATAAAGACCCTGCCAGGGCTTCTGAGCTGTGGCATATTGGCTGCGAGCAAAAACGGGAGGCAGGTCTGGAGACTTGGGTTAGGGCCACAGTGGGATCCAGGCCTTGGGGTGGAGCGGTCTGCACAGTGGTTTGGTGAGGACAGTGGGTGGGGGGAGGGGCATCTGTCACTCATCAGAATCTACCAGTGGCCAAGCCACCAATGCACACCTGCAAAAAAAAAAAACAACCCTCAGCTTCACTCCCTCTTTCCCAGCCACAAGAAGGGCAGCTGGCATCAGATGTTCGGGGGACTCCTTGCATCTGACTTAGGTAGAGATTCTCTGCTCTTATTTTTGGCAAAAATAAAACTTTAATAAACTTATATTCATTTCAGAATCCTTGTGCCTTTCCCAAAGCAATTTTGTGTCTACAGGCACTTAATTTTCACCGTAAGCCCAGACAGGCCTCGGGACAAGTTTGTGCACCCCATTGGCCAGGCAAGAGAACCTAGCCATGGAGAGGTGGTGAGTTCAAGGTCACAGCTGGTGAGGGGCAGAGAGGAAGCAGAGAAGGAGGATCTGAACCAAATGCTCAGGAGACACATGTCGTTAATTACTTGTTTTGTGTCTGATATCAGTTGCATACTGGGGATGAGTATAGCCCAGTCCCTTTTTAAAAAAAATTTAGTTAACAAACACATACGTAGCATTTACTCTGTGCCAGCCACTCTTCTAAGCATTTGACATATTAACATACCTAATCCTCATGATAACCTGCTGAGATAAGAACTATCATTATCCTTAGTTCAGAAATGAGAAAACTGAGGCCCAGAGTAGTTATGTAAATTGCCCAAGGTCACCTAGCTAGAAGGTGGCAGGGAAGGGATTTGAACCCAAACAGTCTGGGCCCAGAGGTCAAGCACCTGCACAATTTTCTCTGAGATTGGCCGTCACAGGAGCAGACGGTGGCATAGGATGCTGCAAAGTCTCCTTCAGACCTGGTTCCCTTGCAAACCACTCTCCCCACTGCATCCTGCACTCTGAACTAGGCTAAGCACCTTCCATGTCCATGTGCCCATCTGCAACATGGAGAGAGTTGCCAAGCATGTCATGACGCTAAGAGAGGTCACGATGCTTGATGTGCTCCACGAATGCCAGGCAGAGCCCCATGGCGAAGGCTGTGGGGTGATGTATGTGCACCTCCAGCCCTTGCCGATGCTAAAAGCAAAGCCTGAAAGGCAAGGCAGGGCCAGCTATTCTCTTTCCAAATCCCCAGCTGATTCCTGGCTGGCTGTTTTTCCTGGCTGTCCTACAGCACTGGAATGATATATCCGAGTGAAGCCAAAATAGGTTTGAGACTTGAGGTTATGGGACACCCGGACAAGATGCAGAGCAGGATAGGAGATAAGGAATTTCCATCCCCAGGATCAGAGAATGTGAGAGGCACAGGGTCCTCGGGGATCGGTTGGCCTCATCTCCTTGTGTTACCAATGAGAGATGGGGGCCCAGAGAATGAGAACGCTGCCCAAGGTCACAGCCAGTTTGGGCAAAGCCCAGACCAGTAGCCACACAAAGGTACAGGCAAAGTTCCGGGAAAATCCCAAATTCTCCTGGATCCATACCCAGTAGAGAAAAAAAGAGAACTACTTCTGTTTGAGTTGTTCGGATTTAGAAAAATCTGTCAGTTTTTCTTTTCCCAGTGTATGTGATAGAGCTCTCCGATCTGACAGCTTGCCTTGGATCGCCCCTTCCTTGTGACGGACATACCTTGAAACTTTTTGCATCCAAATGTCCCAAGATGTGCAATATTCCTAGACCCCTGGTCAGGGCTACCTACCATCAACTCCAATCTTGCCGTCCCCATCTTTGTCCCCAGCAGCCATCAGTGTTTTGGTTTCTTTAGGAGACAGTGCTCTGGCATCAGGAGAGAAGCCCATTAGGAGGAATCTGGAGGAGGAAAGGGAGAAAGCCAAGGAGGGAGTCAGGAACACTGCCTGTGGTGTGCTGGCGTCTGTGGGGGTGCGGGCAGCTGGGACAGGCAGCAAGCATCGGGCACGTGCAGTTGTGCTGTGCCGGGCAGCCTGGTTGGTGGCCCTGTCTTCGTGGGTGCGTGTGCCTGGAAGGACAAGTTGTCCTCAGAGAAGGGTCAATCCCACCTCAGGGTGGACACCTGCATTTTTAATTTATTCAACAGACATCTATAAAATGTCTTCTCTGTGTCAAGGCTGGGGGTATGGTGGTGTTCTCAGGAAAGAACCTGAAAACATGGGGAGGAGGGCCAGTGCTCCAGGACAGACCACGTGGTGTGAAGGACGCAGGGAAGGCTGCAGCCACCCACTGGGGTGGGGGGAGGCTTCCTGGACAAGGTGATGCCTGGAGAACGTTGTCCTGTCCACCTCTGACACTGGAGGACAGGGAACGTCAGCCTCTGCGTCTTTGTGTGTGCATGTGAGTGGGCAGAGGAGAAGGTTCTGAAGGTACCTTGTGAGATGGTTTTGGGGGACACAGAATGAGTGTGGAGCCCTCCATTCCCTCCCCATTCTTGTATGGACAAAATCCAAGGCAGCCTTGGCCAGAGGGTGACAGAAGGCACAGCTGGGTTGGCAGACATGCTACGTGGCCGAGGGGTCTTTGCTGCTACAGTTTGCATTTCCTGGACATATCCTTCTCCTTTGCTTGGCTCCAAGGATCCCTGAACCCCCCAACTGCATTCTCATTCTAAGACTGGTCCAGAAATTGCTCTAAGCAGCCGTAGAAGGGGTGGGGTCTGCAGGATGGTGGAAGGCGCCTTTTAGACAAACGAAAATCAATGAAATCCTGAAGTGAATGTTTTCTGCCTTGCCTGTGGTGTCGGACAGCAAGTAAAACTGCCTCTTGGTTTGTATTAAATTATTAAGTAGCATCATTCCATTAGCAATATTAAGTGGCTATAATTTAAGCTAGTTAGTTGTACTTTCAGATGAGGGGTTTTGCTCTTCGGAAGCAACAATGCTGGGAGGCCCTTCCCCCGGGGCTTTCTGGGTCTGAGCCCTGTGGTCACACCTGGTTACCTTCTATGAAGGTTGCAGAGAAAAGGGCAGGTCTGCAGGGAATTTGGGAGCAAGAGGTCCCCCCCCCCGCCTCCCTACAGCTTACCCCAGCTCATCCTCCTCGATGAAGCCACTCTTGTCCTTATCCAGGATGTGGAAGACCTTCTTCACGTTTTCCGCACTTATTTTCGTCAGGCCGACCATTTGGAAGAACTTTTTGTGGTCGAAAGAGTCGGCAGCTGTGTGGGAGAAGAGCAGAGTCAAATGAGGAGCAAGAAGGGACAGTAGAGAAGGATGGGGGAAACAGGGGGAGTCACAGCATTTGTTGATGGATCCCACATGCCAGTTATGGGGAGTGGGAGGCATCTGCCTCCATCCTGGTTCAGGGGAGGATGCTCCGGCCAAGGTCACCAGCTGGAGGTGGAAGAGGTAGGCTCACACCCAGATCTCCCTGGCGCTCCAGCCTGCTTCCCATTTCCCCCCTGCACCTTTCCCTAGGGCCAGGGATAGACCCTGAGAACCCAGTCTAGACTTCTATTCTCTTCAGAACCTTGTGGCCATGAAGCGTTTTGGGTGTGGCCGGGTGGGAGTGGGCTGCGGAGTTGAAGGTGGTGTGAACCTGGTGCGTCTGTTGGACTCCTAGGAGGAGGGTTGACCTTCTTTCCTGATCACAGACTATTGCTAGAAAATCAACATAGTAAGGACAAGTTTCTTTCAAGGTCACACAGTAGGAGGAAGGGAGAACCCAGAAGTGCTGGCTTTGCCACAGAAGTCCATTCCAGTGGCAGTGGAGGGTGTGTGTTGGAAGGCTCCCCTGGAATGCCCAGCTAAGTTTTTTCTCAGGGGTAGTCAGGTGGCTCAAGGTGAAGGGGGTGGGTTATCACAGCACCCTGGGAGGGGGTTTCCCAAAGGTTCTTATACTCAGAGGAGGGGGCACCAAGCGGAAAGGAACTGGGGGTCACTCCTTCCCCTTCCCCCCACTTTTCTATGTTCTAGAGCTCGTTCTTCAGAACACCTGGGAAAGGGTACGATATTACACTGTGCACATTGTGTGTATGGGGGGGAGTCTGTTGAGAAGGAAAGTTGTCCTGTCCACCTCTGACACTAGGATGGGAGACCAAGATTTGGAGGCAACCCCAGTTCTAACACTCCTTCGGCCCGGTTAGCTGACCTTGGGCAAGTTTTTCATGCCCGTTCTCTACTTTTCCCCCATTTGGGCGATGGGTAGGACGAAGGCAGGCAGCTAAGCGCTGAAGTCCCAGGCAGCTCTGGAGAGGCCAGACTACCATTGCCTTCTCTTGGCTGCCTAAGGAGGCTGGAAGGCGCCGGGGACGCTCAGGGCAGAGCTGAGCGCCGGCTCCAGAAGGTCACCTCGCTTGAAGGTCCGTCGGAGGACAGGGGCTCTGAGCCCTGGAAGGGAATTCGGACAGTTGTGGGGGCCAACAACTGCCACCTCGGGGCGAAAGTCCTGCTCAGGATGGGGTCCAGGAAAAAGAATTGCTGGGAAAGAAGGCGCACGCGCCGGCAGCCCCTCCGCGCGCCTTAAAGAAGTCCCGCGCGCACAGGGACCCTGGAGGTCCCTCCTGCGACCCTGATCTTTGTCCTTGGTCCCGGACTCCGAGTCCTCCCAGTGTAGCTACTCTGCTTTCGGCGCCCGCAAGTTTCTGTGGCTCCGCCAGGGCACCGGCCTCCCCATCCGCTCCCTGCGCCAAGTCCCGCCCGGACAGAGTTTGGGGACTGCTGAAGTTGCCCCCGCCCGGACCCCGCCGGCGTCCGGCCGGATGAGCCGGCAGAAGAGCGCTGGGGAGGACCCTGGCGGGCCGCAGACCAGAAAGGTGCAGGGGCGAGGGCGGTGGAAGAGGGGAGAGGGGCGGGGAGGGAGCGTGCTGCTCACCCGCAAAGGCTCCCACTGCCTTCTTGATGTCTTCAGCGCGGAGCAAGTCTGTCATCGCCATCCTGCAACTGTTTGAGCGGGCAGAGCAAGTGCGAAAAGATTAAAAAGTGCTTTTCTCATCATTTCTGCTCATATGACCAGCGCTGCAGTACCGCGCACCGCCCGCCCGGCCTGGCACCGCGCCAGGGGCACCCGGCTCGGGGCGCAGCCGGGGCGGCTCAGTTCAGCCGCGCCGCTGAGCAGCGCCGGCCGCAGGCGGGAGGGCGTCCACTTGCTCCCACGCCCGCCTCGCCCCACCGGGGGTCCTCACGATCCGGGGAGGGGGGAGAGGGGGTGCAGCCAGGGCACGAGGGGAAGGGGTCATCTCTGGAATCTTAGCGAGCGCCGGAGTCACCCCCAGGTCTCGGGAGTCCACCTGCCCTCAAGGGCACACAGAAGTTGCGGGGTCTCCGACATGGGCACTTAGGGGAAAATCCTGGACCGGCAGGCTGGCACCCCAGTGGGCTCCTCTGCCCTGCTGCCATTCTCTCTCCACTCCTATCTGCGGCTTTTGCTCTGGTCTGTCCTGGATGCAAACTTATGCTGCAAAATCTGAGGTGGCGAAACCTGACCCTCCAGACCCAGAGAGAGGCTGGCAGGGACAGGGACAGGAAGGAGCTGCTGGGAGCTTTGCTGGGGCCCCATCCCACATCTGGCCCGGGATGTGCTTTCAGAAACCTCACTTATTTTATTCATTTATTTCATTTATTTATTTATTTATTTAATTGTTTTGCTGGCTCTCTCGTCTTTTCAAAGAGCCTTTCTCAGTTCTCTAGGACTTGCTTTCTGGGCACCAGGGGTTTGGGGGGAGGGTGTCCTGACTCTCTGCTTCCCTACACATTCTGGGGGAAGGAAGGGTGGGGAGCTGCTGGGAATCTCTATGCACCCTCCTAGAAGGCCCTGAGCATGTTTGGGGTGAGGGTGGCACCATCTGACTACATTTTCTAGACCAGTTATGCAGGCATGGGGGTCTGCACCTCCCTTTAGGGAAATATGACACTCCTGTCTTTATGGAGCCAGAGACTAGTCGAGTTCCTCCCCTTGGTCCCACTGTGGTCCAGCAGCAACCAGCTACCTCTAGAATGTGTGAGTGCTGGTCAGGGAGTTGGGAGGGCTGGGTTCTGGATCATGGGCTGCACTAACTCCCTGTGTGACCTTGGCTTCTGACTTTCTTTTCTGGGCTTCTGTGTACCTCTGTTGTATAGAGGGGTGGTCCCTTCTGGTGGGGCCTAGGACCTCCAACTTCAGGGATGGGCAGGAAGGCAGGGGCTGGGATGGTAGTGGCCCTGGTGGTGGGGACCAGAGCTGCTTAGCTGCCTAGTTGCTCAAGTTCCCTGATGATTGCTGTCAACACTGTCTCCTCCGACTCAGCGCTGGATGGCTGCCCTTCCTGGAAACCTCAGGACGCTGCTGCTAGCTGCTGCTGGCTCCAGCTGCCCCCTCCCTGTGAGTCAGCTCCTTTGGACAACAGCTGCCAGCTGCTTCCAAGGCACCGCGGCTGCAGTTCCTGACCTGTTATCTATCAGCTTGAGGCCTTCCCAGGACCTCCTGCCTCTGCCCCATGCCCCCAGTGGGGCTGCTGACTCCAACATCCTGGACTGGTGCTACCATCTCAGGCCCAGCATGAGCTCCCAGGCCCAGCTCACTTCAGGGACCTGGTTGAAGAGTCTGTTTCCCCAGCTGGGGACCCTCATGCTATACTGGTAGGGAAACTGAGTCTGGAGAATTGTGACTGGTTTAAGGACACCCAAGTCTACTAACTGGGATTTCAGTGACCTTCTTTGGTCCTCTCTGGGGCCCAGGTCCCAGCTCTAAGTCCCACACATCTGAGCCACAGGCTGGCTCCTGGAGAGTTCTCAAATGCTGACCCTATGGTAAAGTCTGCAGCTTCAACAGAGGCCATTCTCCTTCCCGCATCCCTCTCGGATGCTGAGTTCTCCCATCCACTCGGCACCCTCTCTGGATCTGAGTCCCCTGGCCAGAGCATCAGACATGTTTTTAGGTTAGCCCATCAGCCCTCTATAGTCCACCTCTGGAGTCCTCTGTTCTCTGGGTCCCCTATGATGGCATCACCTGGGTCCACAGATGTCTGGCTCTACAGTTAGGGTATCTGAGAGATCCTAGGGGAAAAGATTTGTCCCAGGCCACACCAGGAATCAGGAGGAAAACCCAGGAATCTTACTCTCAGCCCTGAACTCCACAGCTGCCTGCCTTTCAGCTCCCTCACCCCCACCCCTAGCGCACTGGGGAAGGGGATATGTGGCTGTCCCTTCCAATGGCCTCATCCTGTGGCATCCCTCTGTCCTCCTCTGCTCTCAATAGCACTCACCTCGGGTGAGGGTGGAGGGCTGGAGCTTGCACTGCAAGGCTGGGCTGGTGGGAGATCCTGATGGGAAGTGAGACTGGCGGGGGGGATGGCCACCTATATAGGCTTCTGCCTTGGCTATTTTGGGAGGTGGCGCCCCCCCAGTTCCCGGCCCCCTCCCCTTCCGGTGTCAGGTACTCCCCAGCCATGGTGCTAGGTGTCTGTATCACATTCACCCTCCCTGGGCCCATCGAGCCAGGCCTATTAATAACCTCTGTCCCCTGCCTCCTTTCAGCACCCAAAATTGAGGCCTAGGCAGAGCCTGCCTCTTCCACGAAGTCTTCCTTGACCACTCCACATGGCAGCAACAAGAATGGAACCAGCATTGTCTTTTGTGCACGAGGCAGGGCAGGCTCCTTCTCAACCTCCTCTTGTCACTAGAACCTTGCTATGTAGGCATGGGTGCTCTTGCACAGATAAGGAAACACCATGAAAGTGTTAGATGTTAAGGGACCTACTGCCCAAAGCTATGGCCTGAGGCAGAGAGTGGACTTGGTACTTTCACGTGCTGATCCAGTGCCTGGTAGAAAGAGATGCTCTGTGTGTTCTCAGACAAGTTCCTTCCTCCCTCTGGGCCTCTCCATTGTAAAATGAGCTCAGTTGGGGCAGACTGTACGCTATGGGTGAGCTTCAGGGGGAAAATAAGACCCCTGAAATTGTACGCAAAATGCCACACGCAAGTGGAACAAAGGTCCAAAGCTTTCATGATTTGCAAAAGGACCTCTGATGTCTGCCTTGGATTGGAGATGACTATCCCAGGCGTGTGATTTGAAAAGCATGAATGAACAAATGAGTTCAACAAATATTTATTGAGTATCTAATATAAACATCAGGATATATTTCATCCCTCATCCTTAAGCTTAAAAAGAATCTCCTGGAGCCAGGCCCAGCCTGTAATTTCAGCACTCTCAGAGGCTGAGGTGGGGAGATAGCTTGAGCTCAGGAGTTTGAGGCCAGCTAAGCAAGAATGAGACCCCTGTCTCTAAAAAAACAGAAAAAGTTAGCTGAGCATGGTGGCAGGCACCTGTAGTCCTAGCTACTTGGGAGGCTGAGGCAGGAGGATGGCTGCCCAGGAGTTTGAGGTTGCTGTGAGCTGGGCTGAGGCCATGGCACTCTGGCCTGGGCAGCAGTGTAAGACAATGTCTCCAAAGAATAAAAGAAGAATCTCCAGGCTGCTGCCATCATCCAGTTCTGGATTGTGATGTGAGGAGGAGGCCAGTCTATTTGTGAGTGAGGCCCCATGGATAGAAAGATCAGAGGGGACTGCAGGGCAGGGGCCCAGGTGAAGACCATGGCAGCAGCAACAGGGAAAGGAGCATTTCCAAGGGAGAATCTTCCAGACTTGGGGCTGTGGCATGAATGAGAGAGACAAATCCAAGGTGCTGCTAAGTTTTTCAGCCAGGGTTCACTGGAGAAAGGCAGTGCTGTTTATAGAGAAGATGAGTCTGGGGAGGAGGTGGTTCCCAGCATGGCATTGAGAAGCTTAGGATGTTAGGGTTGGGACAGCCTCATGGTACTCTTCCACAGCCTGCTACAGCCTCCATCACATTAGACATGGAGACACCAAAGCCCAGGCGACTTACCCAAATCCCGTAGAGAGAAGTAGGGGAGCTAAGAGCTTGATCTGGACTTGGGGCACCTGGGGGACCTCCTGGTGAAGATGCGCAGTAGATCTGAACCCTACCATGAGGTCAGTGTGGGACACTGGGCTTTGGGGATCACAGACAGGACAAGGAGTTAGAAGTCTTGGGCATGAGTGAGTTCAGGAGCAGCAGGAGCTTGAGGACGAATCCTTGAGGAAGACCCCTGGCCAGGGTCTGGGGGATCGCACTTGTTTTTTGAATATTTCTGGGTATGGTGCTCATAGTATCACACCTCTATTCCTGTAACTCCTTAAAGAGGTAGGGAATATCTTCCCCATTTTACTGATGGAAGTAAAAGGCTCAGAGAGGTTAGGCAATTTGCCTAAGGTCACAGAGCAGAGGTAGGATTTCAGGTTTCTCTGACTCCAAAGCACTTCCTCTTTTGTTTCTTATTATCCTGGCTCTTGGATAAAACCAATAGACGGTTAGGGATAGCATGCACCATGAGTGAATTCTTGGGAACCGGGATGGCTTTCCTTTTGGCCCCCATAGGTCTTCTCCATGGACCTGCAATGAAGCAAATCTAGGTGGGCTGACCCATATTATGGGCATACATTTACTGAGCGCCTACTGTGTCCTGGCACTTTTTCATCTCATTTAGGCCTTATTATAGCCCTTGGAGGTTTGAAAAAATAGAGTCTAAGAGAAGTTGAGAGACTTGCCCAAGGTCACACGGCTAGTAAGTAAGTGGAAGAGCTGGGATTTAAACTCAAACATTCCTCATTCTGAAGCATCTTTCTCCCACAGCACTTGAAGTAGGGCACCAATGTCCTGAAACCTGGCTCGTGAAACATTATCCAGTTCCCTTTGTTCTGAATCTGTGCTAATTTAAGCAGCCTTCACTTTATAAGTTTGGTTAATTTTACAAGGGCCTTGATGCCTGACAATGGATTTATCAGTTAGGTCTTTTTGCTGTGAGTTTAAGTGAAGGGAAAGTCTAATTTGGGCTGGCTTAAGACAAGGGAGGATTTAATTAACTTGTGTAGTGGAAAAGTCCAGGAAGGTTTAGATATGTATGGCTTGATGCAGAACCCAAACCCTGTTATGAGGACACTGTGTCTACTTCTCAGCAATACCTTGTGCTACACAGGCCACCTTCTCAAACTGGGTGACCCCTGAAGGTTACATGATAGCTGGTCCCTGCAGTTCTGTAAATGTCCTATAGGAAAAATGGAGTCCACTGGCCTGAAGCTTGATCAGAAGTCCCAGAGTTGAATTTTACTGACTGCAGTGAGTTCAGTGTGGTCCTACGTCCTATGTGAACCGGTCACTATCAACTTACTAAGGGAACAGATGCCCCCTTCAAGTTTGGAGGGGTTAGAAGATTAACACCATTGGAATTGCATGGGGTGGGGGGGACTATTCTTGGTTGGAGAGGTGAGGGATTCTGAGCAAAGCCCAGGAGCAGTCACTGATGTGTCTCTGGGGGCTGCCCAAGTGAGCCAGGTGCCAGGGAGATTTATGGTCAAAATCTTTGGTATGTTTGAGGATGGTATAGATCAGACTTCTAGAGAATGATTCACTCTGGGGCCCACAGTTGCTTTCCTGGACTTGAGCCCCCCACCCCCCCCACCCCCCCACCTCAACCCCTGTGTGACCCTACTGGCAATCACTCCCACTGTTTTGGACCTTGTTTAAGGCAGCAGCAGTGGCCAGTGGGTTTTCATCTGGTACCTGTGCAAATGGGTAGATGCTGCCATCCTCATGGACACCCCCTCTAGTCCCTAATATTGTGCATGGCCCTCCGCTGACACTTTCATAAAGTTCCAGGAACATATATGTTCTCAGAGTAGGTCCCCTTATCATTTATTTTACAGATGAAAACTTTTTACAGATGAGCCAAACTGAGGTTCAGAGACATCAAATCACTTGCCCAAGGTCACACAGCTTGCTGGGACCAGAGCCCAGTCTATCTGCCACTACCCATGTCCAGTGCTCTTCCCAGCCCTCTGGCCTCACAGCTTGTAGAGGAGAGGAGGCCAGTGTGTGTGGGTCAGCAGTCTTTTGGCTCCCGCCTGGCAGGAGACCAACATTCAGCTGTTAGCTTTGCTGGGTGATTTCATTAGTTCACACTATTTCCACCTGCTGTGGCTGGGAACAGGATACAGAGTTCCTCACAGCCAGGGCCCCAGCGGGCTGGGTGGATGCTGCAAGATCTAATGATATTTATGAGGTCAGCCCTATGGGATGACGTGTATTAGCTCTGAGGAATCTCAGCCTGGTTTGGAGCTTGTGGCCTTGTTTCCCCTGCCTCCCCTCTCCCACATGTGAGTATAATTTCACATTGAGACAGTGGAAGGGGCACTGAGTCCCCACCCTGACTCTGCCTCTTCCTCACTGTGTGACCTTGAGCCAGTCGTTTCTCCCCTCTGGGCTTCAGTTTCTCCATCTATAAAATGGAAGTATAGTGGATACTAAATGAGGTCATATCTGAAAAAGGGATTTGGCAGCTGCAAACTCCTGCATGGGTGAAAACAGGGTGGTTACAGCTACGAGGAAACCCATCTTGCCACTGAATGAGAGAACCTGAAGTAGCCACATCCCCTGTCACCTCACCCTCTCCTCTATCCCCTGCCATCTCAGTCTCGCCTACTGGGACACTCATATCTTGGAACAAAGGCTTAGGATGGTTATCAAAAGAAACGTGTTTGTCCCAGCTTTGCCAGAGTTAGTCATTGGCAATACACGATTCTTCCCCTTGTTGCTGGGCACTGCTACCCTGGCTTCTGGCTTGCAGGCCCGTTCCCCTGGCTAGTGAGCCACTGCCCTACTCCAAGGCACTGACTTGTGGACACAGCAGTTGGTTTAGAAACAAGAATGCTGTTGTTTCACCCTCAGGCAAAGGAATAGATGGTAAAGAAATTATAACAGGAGTAATGGGTGAGAGGTAGTACCCAGGCTCCTTCAGATCCATCCTCGCCAGTTGGCAAAAACAAAGAATGTGTTGCCAGTTACCAGTGTTGTACCCCTTATGACCTGAAAAGATAGACTCGGACCCCACTTAGATGGACCCCACTTAGACAATTAACTGGTGATTTATTTACACCTGTGCAAGGGAGCGCTGCTCTGAAAGACAGGTGGCCCTGAAGTGCAGGGCCACTTGTCTTTCATATTATTATTATTTATTTATTTATTTTTCTCTGCGTAGCAGGCGGTACAAGAACAAAATGTTACAATTAGCTGGGGCAGGGTTACAGCTTGGGTGACAATGGATACATCTTAACTCACAGTGGCTATAGTTATGTAACAATGATTATTGCTTAGGTAGGTTTCCACCATTGTTCACCTGAACTTGGGACTTTTTGTGCTTCCTTGTTCTGAAGTCTGTTTTTGGAATCAACCCTAGGGGGAAGTAGGGGGCCTG